ACCCTAAACTTGGAAGATAGCAGTTAGTGTAACAAGGAACAAGATTGACACAGATCAGACTTCCTCTGTAGGCAGCATTCATCAGCTCTATAAATGCCCTAACATGGCATCTGATAATACTTTTGAAGAATTGTCAGGACACCCCCTTACAGAAAGGACCCAGGGAGGAGACAAGCCAGTCAGGGTGCAGGGTAGCAATGATGAAACATACAACTTTCCTCTAGTTCCTTATTGCTTCCTCCCCCCACTATCATGATCCCAATTCTACCTTACAAATCTGGCTAGGCCAGAGGATGCACATTGGTACAGATAGGAACTGGAAATACAGGGAATCCAGGACAGTGGTGAGAGTGGCGATACCAGGTGGGTGGAAGGAGCATGGGGTAAAGAGGGGTAACCAATTATAAGGATCTACATATAACCTCCTCTCTGGGGGATGGACAACAGAAAAGTGGATGAAGGGAGATGCCAGTGTAAGATATGACAAAATAATAATAACTTATAAATGATCAAGGGTTCATGGGGGGGGGGGGAATGAGGAGCTGATACCAAGGGCTCAAGTGGAGAGCAAATGCTTTGAGAATGATGAGGGCAACAAACATACAAATGTGCTGGGCACAATTGATGTATGTATGGATTGTGATAAGAGTTGTGTGAGGCCCCAATAAAATGATTTTTAAAAAAAAGTGTCAACTTTCTACTGCGAAAGCAGTAGAATCTTCAGGACGCCTTTCAAGATTATCCTGTAAAAGAAGGCAGCGGTTTGAAAACGCAGCTTGCTGTCAGGTTGTGCAATGGCATTCTGCTCCCTTAAGTCATCGATGTTGTGTAAGAATCCGGACACTTTTTCTACCCTAACTGTGGCATAGGCATTTGAAAAACATGCTGTGGTGTCACTGTCGGTGCCGTATCGTATGCTTTCTCCACCCGCCCCTCCACCTCTTACGTGTCCTAATATGAGCAGGGGCCCTGGTGCCCTTCCAGAGAAACATCACCTCAAAGGCATCTCCTGTAATAACTTGTGGTCTGGGCAAAGAACAGGACCATTCTTATGGGGCCTGGTTTCATTTCTGTGACCACCCCAGCAAAGAATGACATCACTCCTTTCTTTCTTTCTTGACCTCCACTTGAGAACATTCCCTTCCCTCCTATCCCCATCAGAATTAGTGTTCCTCCCACCCCCAGGGGAAGAGCTATTTTTTCTCCTAACTTCCTGCCTGAAAGTGTGATTATGCTAACCAGGTTTCTCAAGCAGAGGATGGGATTTCCCCTCTGCTCCACAGTCCCTTACCCCCTCCCTCCCCATTCTGGACAAAGCACTTTTCACCTGGCGGTGAAAGCAGTCTGAGAGGGTCACCTGCTCAGACAGTTCTTTGTCAGGTGATACTAGAGAGCAGGTGGCTCAAGGCGGCACACTCGGAGGGGTAGGAGGTTTCTTATGCCCGGGGAGTTTGGTATTTTCTATTGACACCCACTCACTGACTTTGAGAAGGTGTTCTAGAAGCAGAGTCCTTGAACTATGTCCATGCAAGTGTGCAAAGGTGTGTGGTTGTAAATATGAACACTTGCCTGTCATTCACCTTTGTACTGAAGACTGAAGGGGACAAAAGGAAGACACAGGCGTGCAACGAGCTAGCAACGTAAGGTTGTGCTTTCGTTTGAGTATTATCACTTACAGGGGGAAAAGTAAAAGCGTTTATGTCACATAAGCTGCAAGAACTACTAGGAAGGAAGACAATAGGAGTCCTTGGTGATGCGAATGGTTGAAATGCTCGATTGTTAACCCAAGATTGGAAGTTCAAGTCCCTCCAGGGGCATCTCGGAAGAAGGGCCTAACTATGTATTAAAAAAAAAAAAATCAGCCATTGAAAACTTTATAGAGCACAGTTCTACCCTAATGCATAGTCATCCTGAATTGGAATGAATTCCACAAAATATGGTATGAAGATAATATAAGAAATGTTAACAGCTTGGGTAAAAAGGTAAACTATCAGAACAAAAATTATATACTCTTCTTGCCTCTAGGTATGCAAAACATTAGGTTATGCCATATGAAATTGCTGCCTTTGTAGGTAAAAGATTGTGAAATATATATAACAGCAATTTCCTGTGTGTGTGTCTATGTATTTCTCTATATCTATATCCTATACATATATATATATATATATCTTTTAAAAATTTTTACATATATATGTCTGGATTTATATGTCCATGTAAATTGATTCATACAAAATTCTAAATATGTGATTTTTAAAAATAGTGCAGACAATTCATATTAGGTAGCAGTATATTATTTTTACAAGAAAGGCATACTTTTAAATCACACTAGTATTCTCTGCAATACTCTTTAACTAATGGGAAAAGGTAAGGGGGATCACAAAGGACAAGTTGGGTTCTGAGCCCCCACAAATTCAGCCCTTTATATCCTGTTGCTAGCTTTAAATGCTTATTGGATAATAAGACAAGGATAAGTTTAGCTGTTTTTAGGATCCACATTGAATCCTTGGAGGGGAAAATGTAGTTTATGATTACTGCTCATAGACAAAGTAACTAGTCATTTAAATTTAAATAAAGGCACTTAATTGAAATAGTCAACATCAGGTAAAAAAAATGCCAAGAGACACAATGAGGGGATGTTTATATTGAAATTTTCTATCGTATAGAGACATCAACAGAGCAAAGCAAGGTGTTAATTTTTTTTACAAACAACATAATCACTGTTCTAAATTCAATCTTTGTGGACCAAACTTTGTATATTAGTGTGGTAAGAGAGTGTAGATACTATTGCAGGGGGTTTCAAAGTGTTCATGGAAAAAGTACATTATCTTTTACTTCTATTTTTTCTATGAATTTTTGGTAAACCACTCACATGTTTTAGCAGGTGTATTTCAAGCTCAAAAGCAGGTTTCCCCCAAATAATAATCTCTCCTATAAGTGTGAATATTTTGATGGGAATTAGCGTGATGTCCCCCAAGATGAAATGTAATTGTCCTTTTGCTATCTTTAGGGAACAAGATTAGGCTTTCTACTCCTGTAAAGATTTCATCTCCGAAACCAACAGGAGCAGTTGTGCCCCAGAGGATCCCTCCCTGTGAGTTGGAAGCAACTCAGTGGCAATGAGTTTGAGGTTGAGTGTCGTACTATAAGGAAATACAGTTTATCACTCCCCCTCCAACCCTTGGACAAGAGAGAAGCTTCTGGAAAACTGATGATGAACAGGTTCTTGGCCAGTTTCTGATATTGGGTTATAATACCTCTGTACTTTAGGCTATGAATTCTGGAGTTGATGTCTAGTTGAGTAAACTCTACATGCACAGTACTTAAAAGTGGGCAGAAATACTATATGGATCAACATTATGCCCAAATGACATGACCAGAGTGCAGGCAAAAATGCACAAGGCAGCAAGAGATTTTGCAAACTTTCAGGTTTACGATATATTTAAAAAACAAAACCCACTGCCATCAAGTAGACGCCGACTCATAGTGACGCTGTAGGACAGGGTAGAATGGCCCCTGAGTTTCCAAGACCATAACTCTTTACAGGAGTAAGAAAGCCTCATCTTTCTTCTACAGAACAGCTGGTGGTTTCGAACTGTTGACCTTGTGTATCACAGCCCAACGCGTAACGACTACCCTAGCAGAGCCCCCTTATTGTAGCTATCCTTATTTTATTAACCTGACCAAGCGCATGACAAAGGACCTATCTCTTTACAAATTTTATTAGATGGGGTAGCCGAAAGTCACTTGGTTTTTCAAATGATGAGCTTGGGTGGGAAAAGTTAACGGGGGCCAATTTTCACTGAAGGTTCTATAGAATTTTAAGAGGCTAAGTACCCTGTGTGTTGAACTTCGCAAGTGATTCCCATGTGGTTTGGGCTTGGGTTGTGGTATTTTCCCAGGTGGCTGTGGTTGTTAGGTGCCACCGAGTCAGTTCTGACTTAGCAACCCTGTGGACAGCAGAATCAACCCATCCCTCTTGCGGCTGAGTCAGTCCACTGCTGCAGCTGGGTCGCTCCATCTCCTTGAGGGTCTTGGTCATTTTTGCTGATCTTCTACTTGATTAAGGATGACAGTCTTCTTTGGGGCTGGTCCCGCCAGATCACATGTCCCAAGAACCTGAGAAGCTTTGTTCCCTCTGTCATTAAGGTTGATTTTCCCTTGAAGAGACAGCTCTTCCCCATTATATTTTGAGAGCATTTTCTAACCTGAGGAGTTCAACTTCTGGCACTATATCAGAGTTGTCATTTGAGAAGCCACTCACAGGAATGTAACCAAGGTCCTCAGAACTCTCCCTTACCCCACCACATGCCCCGCATGCAAGTCTACCTAGCCAGGAAGACAAGGAGAGGAGTCAGCAGCAGACTTTCTATTCCTGCCCTAGGGAGTGCTTTGTGGATGACCAAGCATGGCTGACCTGGCTTTCACTTTCCCTGAATCCCCCAAGCCACCCCCACCCCCAACTTCCTTAACAGCTCGTTGAGATAGGCTGATAAACTAATGATGCTTTAGATGGATGGGTTTCCTGCCATTCCTGAGCACTGATTTCATGAAATGACTCTGCAACATTTGAGGCCCCTTTTTAGCTCTCTGAAGGAGCCCTGGGGGTGTCGTAGTTAATACTTGGGCCACTAACTCCAAAGTCAGCAGTTCAAAACCATCAGCTGCTCTGCAGAAGAAAGACAGGGCTTTACTCCCATAACAGGTTACAGTCTCAAAAACGTACAGGGCCAGTTTACCTTGCCCTCTATGGTTGCTATGAGTTAGCAATGGCTCAATGGTGGTACAGGGAGGGAGTTAATAAGTTATCTCTTTCTGCCAAGAAAGTTATGAATGTCAAAGGAAGGTGCAAGGTCACATACCTGTTCCTCAATTTCTGCTAGTTCTTAGAAGTCATTATCTATAAAACACTATCTATAAAATATTCCCCATTTAAAGTTACACAGAGTAGGCAAGGAACCCTCAGTTTAATTAATCAAGAGATTAATACTTGATATGAATACCTTTGAAGTTTTTCTGCACTTATTCTGCCTTGGAGAACCTGCATGTCATTTGCCAAGTTCACCGTCTTCAGATGATGGTGGGTGGTCATCAGTACCTTTAATGGAAGAAAGCAGAAATACTGTCACTTGCCTTTTATGAGTTATTTCTTTCAAAAGTTGTTCTTTCAGAGTTTCAAAGGGGAACACCATTAGGAATAATACTCCCTATATTTCATCTGGACTGATTTTTTTACAATATGCATAAGAGTCTTTGTAGCATTGTGGATCCAATCCTTTTGTAGAAGTTTCCATTTGTCTCTCTCTTCCATTTCACGTTATTTTTTTACTGCTTCATTGAACCAATAAAGAAGAGTTTGGGTTTTTGTTTCTAAATCATTTTATTGGGGCCTTGTACAACTCTTATCAAAATCCATCCATCCATCATGTCAAGCACATTTGTACATTTGTTGCCCTTATCATTCTCAAAACATTTGCTTTCTACTTGAGCCCTTGTTATCAGCTCTTCATTTTTCCCCTTCCTCCCTCGCATCTCCTCCCTCATGAACCCTTGATAATTTATAAATTATTATTATTTTGTGATGTTTTACACTGTCGAGTTTGGGGGGTTGTTTTTAATGCAAAGTAGTTCAAGTTTAAAGTTTGGGTGACATCTAATTCTAGGTTATGAGACCTCTTTTGAAGGAAAATGCACTGGGTCATAAAATTTTCTATAGCTGCTTTGCTATTATTTGATGAGTAGTAAAGCAGGCATTTACAATTGGTGAACTTTGTTTAGATTTTTCAGTTGAAAAATATAAATTGAAAAATTGATTTCGTTCCTCTGACTAACATCGCTATGGGTTGCAATCAACTTGACAGTGGTAGGTTTTTGGAAAAAGAGAAAACACCCATTTTAATGCACCAAGTATTTGATGGAGCCATCTTGCTGCCAAGAATAGCACATGCATATATCACAGGTAAGAGAGAATAAGAAAATGACATGTGCTACTTTAACAATAACTCATTTGATGTTTTAACTCTTTCCCTTCCTAAGACATTGTCCTTGCCTATCTAAATACTTGTGTTTAATAAAGCATTTCCCCCTCCCCCGAGAAGAATGTATCTCAAAAGATGGCACTGAATCTGCAGCTTCGGGAGAAGGATATATCTGACCAGACCACACAGGATCAGATGGAGGGGGAGGAGGACAGACTGGAGCACATCCTGGCCCACCAGGCCTTGAGGACGATGACCCCAAATAGAGCAGCCAGTCCACAGAGAGGACCACATGGCCAGCCCCACTGTGAGACGTGATGCCCCTCACTGGCCCATGGCCCTGCGGGGGACAACACCAGTGACACAGTGTGGGAATTGCACCTGATCTGACCCCGCCACACTGAGGCAAAGCACTGGGGAGTGCAGCGGAACAGCAGGGGAGGGGAGTAGCAAGATCCCCAGGGAATGATGAGGGTGGACATTGGAGACAGGGCATGGTGCCCCAACAGGCTAGAATGGAAAACACAAGCTTTTCTTTCTTGGTATATTTTAATTTGTTCTTTGTCAGTGAAAAAAAATAAAAAAATAAAGCATTTCATTTGAACGTTTTATCTCTTCCCCAGTGGATACAATGGCATGTTCATACACAGGGGGACACTGGAGGGTCTAAAATCCAATGAACAGTAAAAGGAGGTGAGTTTTTCAAAGTTCAGTACATCCCCCCTTGAAATGGGCTGGATTTGACTCTTCAATGTCATCTACCATTGTGTTTGAGCAATTTGGCAATAAAATGCTAATCCCTTTACATAGTTCTCAGAATATAGATAGAGAATCACATGGGACCTTTGCTTTTCTCTGCAGCCTAACTAGGAAAAACACTCACCAGAAAACCCCCAGGCATAGTCAATTCCTACTCGTTGCCACCCTTTGTAGCCCCCCCATTAAGTCTTCCTGCAGGTTTTGTCCTTCCCCAGCACAAGAGCAGATGGCTTTAACCTGCCGACCTGTGATTAGCACCTACCACCTAACCCCCAGAGCTCCCTCAGAAAAGCAGGAGCTTCCTCTTCACAAAGAAACCCTGGGTCATGCGAAACAGTTCATGTGCTTGGCTGGGAACGAAAGCCTAGAGGTTCCAGGCCACCCAGTGCATACATGGAAGTCCATTTACTGAAAACCCGTGGGGCACAGTTTTACAGTGACACCAGATCACAATAAAACATTTACATGACAAATTGCCTCATACAGTGATCCACTAGTTCTAAGACACTCCCCTTTTAATGCCATCACTTATATAGGTGGTAATCTCATCTCTCCAAGTTCACCAATTGCCATCAATTCCAACTCGTGGAATTTCCCGGTGTTTCCAAGGCTGTGACTCTTTACAGCAGTACAGTGAACCCTCGTTTATCGCGGTTCATCGCTTCTAGACCCTACCGTGATAAATGAAATTCCGCGAAGTAGGATTCCTTATTTGTAAATCAAATTATTTTCATAGTTAGAGCATAGAGGACATGAAAAAACACCCTTTAGTCACCATTACACTCGTATTACCCAATTTATTAAACGAAAAAGGGAAAATACAGTAAAACATTTTGGATGTTACAATGATCATTTATTATATTATTTATGGCATCTAGTTTACAGTATTACATATTTCACATACAGTATTATTATACATAGTTCTTACAAATACTGTAATCAATAGCCTATGCAATGACTTAAGGGATGTACTCTACAGGTGGGTCGCTGTCTTTTTCCTCTGAAGGAGCGGGTGTAGGCAGTGGGTGCTGTTACGCAAAAACCGCGATAGAGTGAAGCCGCGGAAGTCAAAGCGCGAAGTGCCGAGGGTTCACTGTAGACTGTCATGCCGCATCGCTCACCTAGAGAGCAATGGGTAAGTTCGAACTTCCTACCTTTGGGTTAGCAACCGTGTGCTTTAGCCATTTTGCCACCACCGGGACTCCCTTTTCTCTTGAGTCAGGCTTTGACGCTCCCAAGAGCGAGGGTTGCCCCTTGAGCTGTGACAGCATCTTATATCTTAAGCGGATATGGCCCTCTAACCAGTACGCATGATTGAGCCCTGCTGTACCTCTCGATGGTCAGAATCTGAGTCACATAGTGCTCCTTAACTTGTTTTGGAGTGTATTCAAGTTTTGCTCCAAAAGATATGAGATCGTAAATTGTCCCTCAAGCAAGACCGAACTGCTGGCCTGTGCCCCTCAAGCCTGAATTACATGCACGTGAATGAAGCAGCGAAGTAATGATCTAGCTGTGGGTCATATCGTCTTCCAGAAGCCAGACCAATGATCTTTTCTATATGCAATGATTCAGTAAAAGAGTCCGCTATAAGCACATTAGACAAGTAGATAGAGAGAAGAAGGGGAGAGAGGGTGGTGAGGGGCGCTCTCACCAAATTCACTGCCCTGGAGCCGATGCCGACTCACAGCACAGGATAGAACTGTACCTGGGGGGTTTGAGAGCCTGAAACTCTTTAGGGGAGTAGAAAGCTGGTCTTTCTCCTGAGGTGTGGCTGGTAGTTTCAAACTGCTGACCTTGACATGAGCAGCTCAACTCATAACCACTATGCCACCAAGGCTGCAGGTGAAGGAAAGAGAGGTGGGGCTGGGCGTGGGGAGCGCATGAGTCCATTTGTAAACATGAAAGGATGCATGGGAAGGCCTCCCAATCCCTTGATTCCATGACGCCAACGTTGACATCAGGGAGGGAAGCTTGATGGTTTGAGTCACACTGCACAAGTTTGGTTTGGCTTCTGCCTCTGGTTGAGTATGCTACTGCACTCAGAGAGTCCTTTAACAACGCGGCGAGCTGATTCTGTGGGGCTCGCTTGCCTTTCTGGGTTCTTCAGAACTGAGCTGCATCACGTAGCCCTCAAACTTCAGAAAACTCATCAACTTTTGCAGCTGAGAAACGGCATTCCACTAAGTCCTTCGTGGAAAACGCTAACAGCATGCACAGTTTGTGCGGTGCTGGACAGTGGTCTTTAGACATCTTCAGGTAAAGGCACCTTTCTCGTCTATGGCAGGCGGACACACAGTTGGATCGATGCGTGAGGTAAATGTCTATTTATTTATGTCAAACCCCCAAACCCAAGCCCACTACCATTTAGTTGGCTGCCACTCATACGGGCCCAACAGAAACGGCCAGAGGGTTCCAGGCTGTGTCCTGGAAGCCGACTGTCTCTCCTATGGGTCCCTGGTCAGCTGCAACCACCGATCCCTCTTGGTTCAAGCCGAGTGCTTTAACAGCTGCCCGACTGGGGCTCTTTCCCCTGATGTATCTAACCTTTTGTTGTCATCTCTTAAAAATGGCCTTCGTCTTGTTGCTGAAGTGCCTTCAGCCTGCGTTCCCCCTTCGCCTTGGAAAGCAACAAACAGTTCCAAATTGCTCTTCCCAAGGGGCTGTTGGAAGGTCCAAAATGTCCTCATTAAAAAAAACTTGCCCTGAACCTCACAAATCTGTCCATTGTGGACGGTGCATACATGTGGGACTATTACTTCATGCACAATGACATGAGAGCAGAAAACATTTGCACAGGAAGCCAAGCCCAAGGGGGACTTGGGGAGTGTCCAGCTTTCTGTGGACCACAGCAATGAAGCAAATGCCGGCAACGCTTAGGTGTCTGGGGGGCCGGCTTGCCTGCGACCTCTCTGCTCTTCAGACCCCACATAGACAAGTGGCTCAGTGGCTCAGGCAGCATCCTGCCTGCAGTTCCTCATTATGTCAGCAGTCCAAAAAGACAGTGAGTAGGGTAGCACTTGCTTATAAGCCAAGATTTCAAATGGCTCAAGTAACCTAAATGCGGAATGGCGAACTCCATATATTACTTACTCAGGCTTTCTTTTGTGCTAACGGGAATTCCCCCTAATATATCTTGTTCCGTCTTTAAATCATAATAAACTTTCCGAGGATACAAACTCATCTTATTCTTGGGTATATATTTAGTGATTATATTGCCGAGCTGTGATCTTAATAGTTCTGTTTTAAAAGAACGCCCTTGTTATTTTTTGACGAAAGCATTTTCGCAAAAAAACAGAAACCCTTGTCACTACTATTCCAGATGCCAAAGCGACTTTCTGCTGGCTCCCGAGTTCTGACGTGA